TTTATGTAACTTACATGGTACTCCTCTTGGAAATAAAAAGTATGTAGTAACATTCATAAATGATGCATCCAGATTTTGCTTTATTTATTTGTTGCATGCAAAAGAAGTAACTTTGGGGTGAGGCGATGTTAACAGCCTTTTAATTGTCGAATATTGTTCAAAATAAAAAGATGAAAACAACTCCATATGAACTCTGGTATAGAAGACCAGCAAACTTTAGTTATCTTAAACTTTGGAGATGTAGGGGTGTTGTTAGACTAACTGAATCCAAGAGGAAAACTTTGGGTGAAAAAGGTATAGATTACATCTTTATTGGATATGCTATGCATTCTAAGGCCTATAGGTTATAAGAACCTAATGACTTTGTATCTATGAATACAGTTAGAGTCAAGACATGCAATTTTTTATCAAGAAAGGTTTACTTCCATATCCAGAAGGATATGCCTCCTAGATTGAAGGTCTTTCAAACTGTACCTTCCACAGACACCGAAATAAGGAAAAGTACAAGAGCAAGAAAGCAATCCAACATGAAATTGACTCCATCGTGCAGAATAATACATGGAAATTGACTGATTTACCACCCGAACGCAAACCTCTAAGATCTAAATGGATATTCAAAAGGAAAATAAAGGTTGATGGAAGCATAGACAAGTTTAAAGCCAAATTGGTCATCTAAGATTTTAGACAAAAGGAAGGTATTACGGAGTAATTTTTTAAATACCCATGCACCTGTTGTTTGAATTTATACAATTGCTCTTGCAATTATAAACAACTTGGTAATTCACCAAATGGATGTAAAAGCTACATTTTTGAATGGTGAATTGGATGAAGAGATATACATGAAACGAAAATAAGGTTTGTTAGTTGATGAAATCTCTTTATGGTTTAAAGCAAGCACCAAAATAATGGCATCAAAAATTTGATGATGTAGTTTTGTCAAATGGTTTTGAATTAAACAAAGCAGATAAGTGCGTATATAGCAAATTTGATGTTTCTAGACAAGAAGTTATAATTTGCTTATATGTAGATGACATGTTGATATTTGGCACTAACCAAAATCAAGTTAATAACACCAAGAAATTTTTATCATCTAGGTTTGTCATGAAAGATATGGGGGAGGCTGAAGTGATCCTAGGTAAAAGGATCAAGCGTAAAAATAATGAGATTTCTATTTCTCAATCACATTATTTTGAGAAGATTTTGAAGAAGTTTAACTTCAAAGATTGTTCTCCAATCAATACTCCTGTTGACCCATGTCTAAAGCTCTTTCCTAATAAAGGTGTTGCGGTATCTCAACTTGAATACTCAAGAGCTATTGGATGTTTGATGTATGCTATGATTAGTACTAGCCACACATAGCATGTGCGGTTGGAAAGCTTAGTGTGGATACTAGCAATCTGAGTTCGCATCATTGGCACGTTGTTAACTGGGTAATTAAATACTTGAAGGCAAGCATGAGTTAGGTTTAACTTACACTGACTTTCAGTTTTAGAAGGATACTCAGATGCAAGATGGATAACTAATAGAAAGATCATTCTTCCACGAGGGGAAGGATATTCCTTCTCGAGGGAGGTGCAATTAGTTGGGCATCAGAGAAACAAACATTCATAACTAACTCTACAATGGAGTCTAAATTTGTGGCTCTGGTAGCAGCTCGTAAAGAAGCAGAATGGTTAAGGAATCTAATATATGAAATCCCATTATGGCCAAAACTAATATCTCCCATATCTGTTAGGTGTGATAATGAAGCTACTTTCGCTAAGGCTTATAGTCAAGTTTATAATGGGAAGTCGAGACACTTAGGTGTGAGAAACAACATGGTTCGTGAGCTCATCATGCACGGCGTGATATAAGTGGAGTTTGTAAGAACTCAGTAGAATTTTGATGATCATTTAACCAAAGGGTTAAGTAAAAACCTTGTACAGAGATTAGATGTGGGGATTGGATTGAAGTCTATCAAAATTTCTCATGATAAGATTCCCAATTCCCATCTAATATGACATTAAATGCTGAATTCATTGTGCAAAATCTTAATATATAGAAATTGGAACACATAAAATATATCATCCCAAGATATGTGTTTAAACTTGTAAGATTAAGAAGTTGAAGTAATTCTTAATAGTTCTTTTGACAATTACAAATGCAGGTGCATGATGAGACACAAGTTAAAAAAATACGGCCGCATCTCAAATTCTTCCTTCCGTCTCTATAAGAATTCGGCGAATCCATGGTCGCAAAGTGAGTTTGAAAATTCATATTAGTTCATATCCGTTCTTGTTACAAATTTGAGTTTTATCTCGTTGATTTTTAGATAGAACACCAAAATAATCAATCTGAAAAGACTACACAACTCTCGATTTGATCCGCATTATCTGCATTATCCCCAACACTCTAGCGAAAAAGAATAATAGCAACAACAAGACACCACATAGAATGCAAGAGAAAGGAAGAAAAACAGTAGAGGGGACTAGAAGACCAAGGAGAAACAGAGTAATCAACAGCATAGACTCGATTCCAAGCCATCCCAAATATAAATTCAATTTCAACACATTCAATCACACAATTTTATAATCTTAATTCACAATTTCAACCTCAATTGAATGAGAATATACCAACGAATACAAATCTACGAATTAATTCTAATGAGAAATACCACCACTCACCTCGACTTTATTGACAGAGAATTCATAAATTAACTGATACAGAAGTTCCGACGAAGTCTCCTTTCGTCTGATCCCGTTGCATGACCCAGAACGAAGAAAGTGATAAAGTGAGAGAACAATGGAGATACACGCGACTATATATTGTTGTTTTAGTCTTGGCCCAATTCCAATTAAACATAAAAAATCTTTTCGTTTATTTATTAAACTCTAACGTCTATTTTACTAATAACTTTTTACATATAATTCTAAACTTGGAAAAGATGGGTATTTGAATTCAGCTTGCTCTCTTTATTATCTCTACGTCATACTTGTATTTTATCTTTTTACTTTGTTATCTTTTTAAATTTAAATCTTGGGGTGGTCTAGTCACTAAGTTTGGTAACTCAAATTCACGCGTGGAATACGTCATTGAATTCATCTCGTCGAGACCTTTTCTTCGAGTATAAGTTTTTTCAAGAAAAGTGAACTTTGAAAAGCACTTTTTTAACACAAACGTTTCAATTTTTTTATTTAACTTAAATGAAAATAAGAATTTTGTTTTATTAAAAATTCGTTATAAAATTCCAGAATATATATCAAGGCATTACATTTCTCTCATCCTTACAAGAATTGTCCTCAAAATTCTTCCAAGGAACAGAGTGTGAAATAAATACATTTCAAATTTTTTAAATATTATATTTATATATATATCTTTTTTTGTAAAAGAGATAATTTCAATTGTTGATCAAAATACTTTTCTATTTCTATGTTTTGGTAATTTACTCATTATGCACTTATGCCCTTACACAAAATCTTTTTGTTTTCGTCCAATCAAAAGTAACCTATTTATTTTGTACTTTAAAATGTCCATATAGTATAACTTAATTTTTTTCTTGACAACAATTTTCTTGAGATAGTCACGTTGCATTTTTATTGTGCATTGCTTCTTACTATCACTATCGCCTTACACCAAAATAACACCCTCATTCATCCAGGTCTCATCCAGGTCTGCAACCCCTTCTAAATCTGATCGTCATTCAGTGATCAACAAGATAATTGAACATTAGAAAAAGTATTATATTTTCTTTTTGTATATATAATTTTTTTAACATTTTTTTAAATTGATTTGGTGAATTACATTGATCAATCAACCCATTTTTTTTCTTTTTGTAGATCTTAAATTCCAAATAACCCCTTTTTTTACAACAATACATATGTTTAAATTTTTAGCAATTTGATTTTAAAAGGCTTCTTGTAGACAGCTAATAACAAATTCAAACAAATTAAATTTCAAACTCTTATTACAATTTGTCATCCTTTTTTTGCAAAAAAGTTAATTACCACTTAAAAATTTAGCACCACCCTCTCAAAAGTTATCTTTGATAATATTTATTTTGAGTCCCTTATGCGCTTGGTTGGCACATGACGCATTTTGTTTTTTATAACATGATCGAACTAGTCATGCTAGATGTTTGTGAAGCCACGACTAATTTCTTTTTATGATTCACTTTCAAGGTTACTTATTTTTTTCATAATATTTTGGTTAACAAAGCGATCAACTAAATATCAAAGAAACAAACAATTATGACATAAACAAACAATAAGGATTCAGAGTTACCTCTTGGAGAAGTGAGATCACGAAATTGTGGAAGCCATTTTTCCTCTCCTTTTTTGGATGGAAACATTTTTTTGCCAAGAATCATTTTTAAAACACACAATACGATACCAAAATGTAACACCGAAGCCGAGGAACTCAAACCAACGAGTTAGCGAATCAAATTATAATGACCTTCTCTAATTTGATTCTTCTAAATATAAATTCACTAAATTTAATATTCATTGTAATTTATTTGTCAATTATTACATTCTATTAAAAAAAGAAATATTATTTTATAATTTAATACAAAGTATGACTTATGTAAAATATATGAATAAAAAATATAAAGATAAGTTGTGGGTGTCTGTTTAGAAATAAAAGAACTTAAAGATAGGTGATGTGGTGATGATTTAGATGAGAGAGAATGATTTAATGGATGAATTTTTAATTAAAGAATGGAGATGCACTAGAAGTGCCAGGTTTGGTTAAGAAACCAAATTCTTTAGTTTTCTAGGCATTTAATACATTTAGATTAGTTATTTTACAAAAAAAAATCTATACTTAAATAGTAACTATTTTAGAAAAATTCTATCATTTATGTAGCACATTCCATTTTTGAAAACATAAAAAAAATTTCAAAACCAGTATAAAAACTGAAATTAGCGCATGTCCACCCATAACAATGCAAGAACCACTTTATGTACCAAACAAATATTACTAACACCTAGTTATAGGTAACTAGAACCAACCCCTTCCTGTACCGTATGAAATGTACCCCTGTGGCCCCACCAAATCAGATCCAATCTGTTTCTAGTAACATCACAAAAGCAATCACTCAATCGCTATTGAACACCCCCATCACAAGCATTATCCCCTCCAAAGAACCAATATATGTACTGAACAAATAGTACTAATACCTTATGGATGGTGCCCCGCTGATACAGTCCCGATCATGTTCTAGAAATGACAATTCCGGTCACACATCTAGACCTACAAAGAGCGAAACCAAGGATGTTCATTCTCTCCGCTTTAACGTAGAAGAGTCACCTGCAAGATAGATCGGTGGATGATCAGGATAATTATTCAAAAACACACTTTACTGAACTTTACATGAGAAATTACAACACAAATTTAACATATATCAACAAACAAATACCCCTATAAGTAGTCAGAAAGCTGTAAAAGTGAAATATCACGAACAGATTATAAATACTAATCGCACCAAAGGTAGACATCCAAGGAATCATACACATTAAAAGGGATCCTACAAATAGGATCAATCATATCGATGTGATCCACAACTAATATGGGTTGGCATCATTCAACCTAATAGTTTCTGCTCACAAGAAGCAATTAACATCCCAAAGCAAGATCTCAAACATACATAGATTGCAGTAATTACCTTTCCTAGTAGGGCAAGGACGACAGAACTCCACTAGAGGTTTTTTGGTAACATGAACACCGACCTCGGCCTAAAAGGTCCTTATTAGAGGGTCACCGGTTTTGCCTTCTTTCTTGACATTGAATGTGATATAGTAAACATCGTGAGGCAAGATTTTCCCCTCGTTCCATTTTAGCACATCCACAACTTTATTTGACTTTCTCTACATCAAATACCCAGAAACATGATAAATACTGAGAAGACAATTTTGGAATAGTAGTTTCTCTTCATTTCTAGACATTTTTAGTATTTTTATAGTATAATTTTTATTTGCTCAGCTTAGCTTTGTTTCAATTCCCATTCTTATTTTCTTTTTTAGTTGGTGGTATTTTTAAACTTTTTTCTTTTTGCATTTCATTCTTTGTTTTATTTTTCCTAACCCAAACTAACAGGCATCCTATACTTGAAGCAAAAAATAGAAAAAGGCCAAATTGGAGTTCAAGTGGATAAAATGTTTGCAGGTTTGTAGATAATTAATGCATGAGTAGAACCATAGTTGTTAATGGCAAGGGCCATTTGCGCTTATGGCGCCTAAGGCGCAGTGACGAGGTCTTTCCGCCATACCAAGCTAGGGCGAGGTGTTTTACGAGAGGCGCATCATGGCGGTCGCCATTCACGACTGAATTTGTGGCAAGAAGCAGACACCATCCTCACTCTACGTTTGGAGTGATGCAAAAGGGGAGCTGATCGACCGGGATCCTTGGCAGAAGCTTAGGATCGGTAAATCTAGGAGTTAGATCTGACAGCAAAATCTGGGCATTTCTTCTTTTTTTAATTTCTGTGAAACCTGTGGGCATCTTAAATCTGATTTTTTGATCAAGTTTTATTTCTAGATTTTCTTTTTCTTGCTTTATTTCTTCTTTTATCTTTTGTTGTTTTTTTATTTACTTAATACTCCGTAACTAGTAGTCAATTATTGCCCTGATCCTACCACAAACACATGTACTCCGTATATAACTTAGTAAACTACTCCCTCTATTCTCAAAAAGACTTTTTATTTTGAGCAAGTGTAAAAATAAGGAAGTGTTAAATTGTAATTGACTTTCAATTTTGCCCTTAATGTGATGGGCAAAAAAAAGTAAAATGTGATGAATAAATTATAAGAGAAAAAGTATGATCTGATAGGGAGAGTATGAAAACGTAAGGGTTAAGGTGGTTTTTCAATAGAAAGTAGAAGTGTTGTGTTGGAAGTGGAAAAAATGAAAGAAAAAGTGTTTTTTTAAACGAAGGGATACATAAACATATACATGTACATGTACGTGTACATGTATATGTATATGTATACATCATAGGGCATAATAAAATTTGGGAATTGAGAAGTATTATATGGGAAATTGATAAAATTACTACTAACTCGGCCTTAAGAACAAAAAGAAGGGAAGAATCTAACCTGAGATTAAAGCTACTCAATTGCAAAATAGAGAATTCACAAGGTGCTTCTGTTCCATCACAATGATACGGCTAACTACTTTAGGAGTATATGAAACTCCAGACTCCCGCCATATTTAGGTCATCATGAAAACGGGCAATAGAGATCCAACAATGTATGGGCAAAAATGGCATGAAACCTAAACGTGCGTACTCAAAATCTTAGCGGAAAAGAAGCACAATTACAACTGGTACTAAACACACACTATTATTTTATATTATATAGTGATATTTATTTTATCCCTCAAATCTAATTGTTATTTCACTTTAGAATTTCCGATAAGTTATTATATAATTTGGAAAAAACATTGGAAGACATTTCAAAACATAAAACAAGGACAATAACCTTCTATATAGCTTAATATGCCAAAATTAGCTTCAATTTCAAAAGAATCTATATAAAAAAGACGCTAACTCTGACCGTAAGCAAAAAAATCTATCTATAATGCACTCCTTATAATGGACTTTTATAATATTCAAAATGATTTAATTAAAATAAATTCTCTATAAATGTAATAGATGTTTGGTCTGGAAACACAAAGGGTAAATGTTATGCGTAGGATTAATTCAAGGGTAGATTTCAACAGGAACATTTATGGTCTGTAAACACGAAGGGTAAATGTTACGTGTAGGGTCCATCATCATGCCATTCTATTTCTAAGACTTGAAAGAATCAAAATTAAATTTATCAATACCAAAAAAAGTACCAGAATAAAAAAGATATCAAACTCATACCGGTAAACTTATTAACTAAATGAACTTTTTTTTTAAAAAAAGAATAAGGTATAACGATGCAAAAATATTATCAAGCAAGGTGCATTAATGATTACCCTGCGCTTCGCACAAGCTCAAAAATTCTTAATAAACTGCTATGAGTAGATTTTTAAATTCTAAAATTGAAAATTTTCTTTAGAGCATCTATACAATAAAACACAATGTTTTAGATTAAAAGCATAGAAAAAAAGTAGAATGCAATGACTCGAGTTTAATATGCATCCCTGACAGAGTCTAAATAACACTTTGAAATAGCTTAGCAAACATGAAATAAAACATTTTAATGTAAAGCTTACACACTTGGCAGACTGCCACAATGAATAGCAAATTGAATACAAGGACATGAAATAAAAAAACCAATGAAAATAATAAGAGTGAGGGGTTAGCTATACAACCAAAGTAATTAATATAGTAACACGGCAAACCATGAGGGAAACATTAAAACTTTGAGACCATTAACAACATAGAGCACAATACAATTTTGCAGCAACATTAGTTCTTCAATGTATTTATGTAAATAAAATAACAAAATTAATGACGAAGTTTGAAGAGAAGTTACTCAGTATATGAACACAAAAAAATAGACAGACGTGATATTTATTCATTGGGACCTTGAACAACATGGAGCAATAGGATGAAGTGTGTTAGGAATGTGTCTCCTAGCCATTTCATGTTCATAGCAATATGCCATCTGGGAGAAAATGTACGTGTACGTGTACGTGTACCTGTACGTGTACGTACACGTACATGTACATATACATATACATATACATATACATATACATATACATATACACTATTTGACCGCCCGCCTCTCTCCATAAAAAAGGTCTTCTCGCCTGCCCATCCCCACTTGGCATTAACAACTATGAGTAGAACAAAAAAGATTGGCTCTTTTATAGACTTGCCCTTAATTGCAAACTCCTTAAATACTACTTTGATTCTTGAGTATTTTTGTCTACACAAATTAAATAAAATCAATATCAAATTTTTATTAACAATATAACTTTTTAGAATTATTTTATAATATACTTCAAAAACATTCTTTTATCAAATTAACACACCATATAAACCATATCCTATAAAGAGGTTGGTTACAAAAAGCCAGTGTTGGAAAATGGGGACGCAAATGATTATTTTGTACATGGCTTCTGTGCAATTCAGAATCTGCCATGAAGACGAGTCACGAACAAATACTCCAACAATATACGACTGATACACATACAAATACTGAAATACTGAGACATACATATGTGTGTGTCTAAACACACATATATGTAACTAGAGAGAGATGGATATAAATAGAAAGATCTTACAACACGGCCATTGTATTGGCTGAGAGCCAATTCAGCTAAGCCAGAAACTTTATCCAGAGATTGATTGAAAGAGCTTTTCTCTTTGATATAGGACCAAGGGACAATGCTGGGAAACTGAGTTGAAGGTACTAATTGCTCAACTTTGAACCCCTACAAAGAAAGGCACACACGACTAAATCAGTCAAAGTAAGAGACAAATTCAATCTAATACAGTAAAAGGAAAAAAGAGAAGAGCACCGGTTCAGAGATAGACGAAACGATCATTCATAATTGTAATAAGATAAATAGGTATTTGAACAAAAAACAATCAAGCAAATCATACACGAACACATAAAAATAAATTATGATAAACCTCAGATATTGACTTACAGATACAGAAATTCACACAATCAGAAAAGAGTAGTGAAATGCTAAACTTCTATGAAAAGTTTTCTTACCAATCAGACACCTGATTCGAATTACCTTGCCTGCTATATTGCTTAAAAGCCTTGCTGTAGATTGCGCGTTGTTGATATTCATTGAGGGTTATTTGTGGTTGGGTAACAAAAGGGAAATACTTTCCGTGAAAATCGGGTTCCAATTCCTCGCCACTCAGGTCGTCGTAAGTGATCTCGTCGGGAATCTATCCTCCGGTCTGATTTTGGTTCTTTCATATGACCAATCTTAACGCTTTTCCCTTTCCCGGCAGCGGGACTTTCAACTATTTTGCCTTTTGCCGCAGTGCGACCCTCAACGATTTTCCTCTTTCCCACAGCACGATTACTCCCAACGATTTTCCAAACAAAAGGGCCACCGCGAGCAGCAAAGGAAAGCGGCGCCGAAGACCGCCGCGGCGGCGGAATCCACCCAGGGGTAGTCGCGTCTACCTCTCTCCATATTTTTAGGGTTTGTTGTAGGTATTTGTCCATTGGGTATTGGATTTTTATAAAGGGCATGGATGCCCTTTAATTTAAATAGTGACATGTGAATAAATCTTACTATATACAATGCTAGGAGGGCATTGTGAACAGTGTTCCCGCTCTTTTTACTGCTACAGTGTGGGCCGGCTGGGCTGCCTACTATTGGGCCGAAAATGAGTCCAGTCTTGACACTATTTTTAGGGTCTAATGGATGCTAGGTGTGAGACACAATAGAGTAAACAAACCACTTTATTGAGCCACGTGATACATCAAGATTAAGCCACCCTTTACATCAAATCAAGAACTTAAAAAGATTTGCACAATCTAAGCATTTTATGTGCTTTCAAATACTTGATTCACAAAACCATTATATATTCACTATGCCTGAATACTTTTGAATGTAACCGTATCATCACACCAATTCCTTCTTCCACCATATTTGAGTTCTTTTGCTTCCTTGAGATGGCCGAAAATTCTCAAAGAAATTTTAGGACAATGTTTACTCCGATTTCCGAGCTTGACAACAACCGTACAACTTGGATTCTCAAGTTAAAGGCTATTCGTGTCTACTTTGTTCCAAGGTGGGCGAGAGGCGGAGATTCTATGGAGATCGTCTTTCACGATGAGCATGTATTTTATTCATTGAGGGTTATTTGTCGTTGGGTAACAAAAGGGAAATACTTTTCGTGAAAATCGAGTTCCAATTCCTCGCCACTCAGGTCGTCGTAAGTGATCTCGTCTGGAATCTATCCTCCGGTCTGATTTTGGTTCTTTCATATGGCTTCTCGTCATCATTCGAATCAACACGACCACTCTTAACTCTTTACCCTTTCCCGGCAGCGCTACTTTCAACGATTTTGCCTTTTGCCGCAGTGCGACCCTCAACAATTTTCCTCTTTCCCACAGCACTCCCAACGATTTTCCAAACAAGAGGGCCACCGCGAGCAGCAAAGGAAAGCGCCTCAGAAGACTGCCGCGGCGGCGGAATCCACCCAGGGGTAGTCGCGTCTTCCTCTCTCCTTTACAGCATGTTTGTTTTGAGGTAGGTGGAGGTAGGGTGAGGTAAATTTTACACCCTACCTTGTTTGGGAGATAAAATTGAAGTGGGTGAAAGGAGGGGAAGTGAGGTAACCTTGCCTCCTAATAGTGCAAATCTCTCTACCGCCGATTTGGCGAAACATAGCGGTAATTATTTCCGTTCCCTTTGCTGCCCTCCTAATTTTTCCTAGAAACTCCGCTAGCTGCTCGGAAAAATCAATCGCACATCCGGCGCAGGTTCTTCCTCTCCCTTTTCTTCCAACTTCCCTCTTTGTTTTTTATTTTTTTGCTAAGAATTGCAAATTGCTTTTTTCCCTGTTTTATTTTTTATTTTTAACTTTTTTTCTAATTTCTTTTCTGCCGCTGATTTTTTGGTATTTTTGTTCTATATTTTTCCGTTTTTTTATTTCCTGATTTTGCTTTCTTTTCTTTTTTTATTTTTATTTGTTTTTTCCAGTTGTTTTATGTTTTTTCATGTGGTTGAAGTAGCATGGTTTGATTATTTTCTGTTTTTTGGTTTATTTCTGATTTTTTTGTTATTTATATAAATATGCTATTTTTTTGTATTGGTTTTTGGTTTACTCTTTTCTTTTTTGCTGTCTTTTCTGTTTTTTGCTATGTATTTTAATATCATTTTTTATGTTTTTTGGGCTTTTCTTTTACCAGTTTTTTCAATATTTATTGAAATATATAAATGTATTGTTTTGTTTTTCAATTTTTTTAGCTGTTTGTTTTTTCAATGAGTCTTTCCTTGGCAAGGGCATTCCGGCTTGGTGGATGTGTAGTCATATAAAATACATCCTAAATAGATAAAGAAAAACAACTACAAGGATATTTTAGTAATTTTAATCTTTTCCTACCTCACATTACCTAATAAACATCCAAACACAATTTTTTAATTCATTACCTTACTTTACCTACCTTCTATTACCTACCTAATAAAACTTTTACCTACCTCCAACCAAACATACCCTTAAGCTGTGTTTGGTTGGAGGTAGGTGAAGGTAGGATGAGATTTAGGGGCTGTTTGGCAACTTCTGAATAGGTAAGTGCTGAAACAGTAAGAGGTCTGAATCATTAAGTGCTGAACCAGTAAGAGGTTTGAACCATTAAGAGCTAGTATATTGCTTAACTATTCAGAGGCAAATGTCTGATCAATTCAGATAAAAGGTCTTAACCATTCAGACTCTGTATAATACTTAATCATTCAGAGGCAAATGTCTGAGCCATTCAGACATCTGAACCATTAAGAGGCTGAAACAAATAGTCTGAACCATTAAGTGCTGAACCATTCAGACATCTGAACCATTAAGAGGCTGAAACAAACAGCCCCTTAGGAGTTATCTTGTTTGGGAAATCAAATAGGGGAAGGTAGACGAAGGTAGCTGGAGGTAGACTAGCCGCGTAACAGTGCAAAAAACCTGCCCGCTGATTCAGCGGTAACTCAAGGTAAGTTTTGTGTTTCCCTTCCCTGTCCTCTTTCTTCCTCTTCTTCTTCTTCTTCTTCTTCTTCTTCTTTTTTAGCGACTATTTCTTCTCGGATTTCTCGGATTTGCGACTCTTTCTTCTTCTCGGATCTGATCTCCTCCAGGCCTTCAAACCCTATTGATTGTCGACGGCTTTCTTCCTGGTCGATTTTGCTTTCTTTCTCCGATCCCCACTTTCGATTTGATTTTGCTTTCTCCCACTTCTTCAAAGTTCAAACCCTTTCAACTTTTTTCATATTTTTTGCTATATTTTTTTCTTTTTTATTTTTTCCCTGTTTTTTAATCATTGAAATTGAAATATCATGCTTTGACTTTTTCCCCTTGTTTTTCTTTTTGGGTTTTTTGCAGTTTTCCCGTTTTTTGTTTTATTTTTTGCAATTTTTTTATTTTTTGAGTAAAAAAATAAGGGCATATAAGTAAATTTGTTATTCTGCCTACCTCACATTACCTAATAAACATCCAAACACAATTTTTTAACTTGTCACCTTACGTTACCTACCTTCAATTACCTACCTTCAATTACCTATCATTAGATATTTGACGATTGGGTATTGGATTTAAAATGGAGTATGTCACAAAGTTTAAAATGGAGCATAGTTTGTTTCAAAATTTGCAAAATGTCCCCTATAAATTGCAAGAATCACTGTTATCAATCATTTAATCCATCATCTATTATTTTTTTCTGTTTTAACAAATTTGTCAAAATAAAAAGAAAAAATATTTATCTTCAAAATACTACCTTTATTCTAGAGTATTTGTCTAGTTTTGTATATTAACAATCTGACATTGTATATCGTCATTCCACAAGTATTTTTTGATATTATATATTGACATCATTATCAAAATTTTAACTTTAAAAATAAAATTTGGAAATCATATTTGAGTATTTTATTTATGTTTTACTCATAGTTAAGTATTCATTAATACTCCAAAAATATAACATGGCCATCTCAATCAAGACCTAATTTTCGTATTCAACCATCAAATACTCTAATTCATGGACTCATCATTTCTCCCAAACCACTGGGAATGGAACTCTATATACAGAGTAAAAAATTTTGGGAATGAAGGACATGAAAGGCACACCATTCCATATTCAGGAATGAGGGATATAATAAATTTATTTACCATTTCTACAACCTCGAGCATGAGTGCCGGTAGTGCCATATCTTCGAAAAATAAATAACTTTTCATACTCTTCAATAGGTTCAATTAAGATAAGTGAAGTCCAATATATCTTGAGGAGATAGCTTGTGTCTAGAATCAAAAATTCATGCGGAATTTTTAGGTCAGATGTTCCATCAATCACTTGTCCAACCTTTTCCTCTCTAACTTGATTATCCAAAAAGAAAAAAATTGTGTGGCCCTATCTACGCAAGAGGACGTAGATGAATGTAATCTTATATTCTTCATCAATGTATAAAATTTAAAGTACGACTATATTTTGAAAAATTGATGATAGCAGTCACAATTTCCTCTCTTAAATCTTTGGGTAAAACAGGAAGAATTTGCCAAAAATCACCTCCGAGTACAATTATGTTCCCTCCAAGTTCAACTATTTTCTCTCTGGATTTAACTATTTTCCCTCCAAATGGTTCATTTCTGGAGTTTTTGTTAGAGAAACTCATTACATCTCTCATTTTTTGATCTAACGCCTCAAAAGTAAATCTATTCATCATACATGCTCCATGCCATACAATTAGACTTACTTGTTGCATTAGTTCTGCTTTGGACTCTCTTGTGTGATGGCACACGTTAAGCACTCACTTAGCGCCAGAGCGATTTAGAATCTTAAGTGTAATGTCCTTCCCTAGGAAAAAGTAATGCTGCAATGCCACTGGATCTGACATTCAAGACAACCTTATCATTTTACATTAGAGAAGTAGACACTGATTTTCATAGAAATATCTTTCTAGTTCTACTGTTACCATACACAAAAAGGAAACATTCTCTTTCAGGTGTCACAACTTCTATTATCTCATCGTATATATTGTGCTGATCTTCATTCATTGTAGATAAGTATCTCATAAGATCAGATGTCAACTTTTCTTTATCATAGTTCAGTTCCTCTACTAATAAAGACAATATTTTTAGCATTATATATTAAAATTATTGGTATTGTAGTTCCTATTTTAGAGATAAAAAATATGGAACTCATATTTTTGTACTTTCTCCATATTCTAATCATATTTTAGTATATTTTTTACAAAAAATTATAGTGGCAATTCGTAATCTTATATAAAGAATATACTCCGTATAGAACTTATTGGTCTATAAATTTGTTGTTTAAAAATGCCACATTATTCAAGTCATTAATAGGTGGCGGATGATTTGTTAAAATATTGTGATGTAGACTCGCCACTTGTCGCAATTCTATGAGTTTAACTCTCAAATTTAATATATAAAGATAAAGATAAAGATCTCATAATTTTTTTAAAAATTTAAATTGAATACACCCTCTTTAGTTGATGCAACTATTGATGCTCATCATGACTCATCCAAAAATAATCATTCTATGTTTAAAATATGGAAGCTAGGCTCTGTTCGTCCGACCCCCCAACCCGTATTGGGCCTAAATGTTCAAATTAGCTGGATAACAAAGACAACAATGATCCTATTTATAGGATTCTTTTTAACACCTAAGATTATATACCCTTGAATGTTGTAGAATGCCTCACGTTGGATTTCTGACTACTTGATGTCTTATTCACTTGTAAAGCCACTTAAGGATTTTAATACTATGTTTGGTTCAAGGAATTTGAGAGGAAAAGAAAAGAAAATGACAAAGAAAACATTTTTCTTGGTTTGGTTAGAGAGGAAAAGAAAAAAAAAATGGAAGGAAAAGAAAATAAGAATGCAAAATGTACTAAGAGGAAGGAAAACCAAATTCCTCTCATTTTGATGAAGAAAATGAGGGAAATCATGTTTCTTTTCTTTTCTTCCAAATTCCTTGAACCAAACATCTATGAGAATTCATAATTTTCATAAGTCCTCCAATCATTATTGTAAAACTTGACAATCGACAATGTCAATGCTCCAATGAGTTTTTGAACCAAATTGGGCTTGGTTTTTTAAATAAATTATTTTGCTAGGACTCCCAAAGTATATTGAAGGCGGGTTAATATGGCATTCGGCATACTTGACACGAGTTATTAGCACTACTACAAAACAGGGCAAAGGCACCGGTTGTTTTGTACCTTTAGCATCGGTTTTGTACCGATGCAAATACGAGCGATGCAATTGGTCAAATTCAATTGCATCGCCTTTAGAAACAACCGGTGTCTTTGCTATTTTATTAATTAGAAAAAAAGGGAGTATTAGCATCGGTTGTTTACAAATAACCGATGTCTTTGCTTTTTTTTATAATTAAAAAAAATAGTATTAGCATCGGTTGTAGACAAACAACTGATGCCTTTGGCAAAAACCGAAATTTAAAATAGAGAATTAGCATCGGTGGTTCAGCAAAAACCGATGCCTTTGAGCATTTAATTTTCAATTTTTTTTTAAAATCCATAATCGCATCAGTGTGCCAGGAACAACCGATGCCTTTGCTCAATATTATAAATTTCAAAAAATATTTTAAAATGTATTTGCATCGGTGTTTACTAAACAACCGGTGCCTTTGATATAAGAATTTTTTTTTAATATTTTACAAAAACAGCAATAATTCTACACAATGAAGCAACAGTAAAGAAACTACACATTCATGTACCACACAGCACTACTTATAAGAGATATAAGTCTCAAACATTGAAAGACAATTTAAATTTCATTGTATACATCCACCAAAATGTAAAAAGACTTAACATCCTACACTACTTACAACACAAAGTTGTGTCCAACTAACAAAACGGGTTAAATAGTATACCAAATTAAACTAAATTTGTTTGTCACTAGGGATAGAGTGGCTAATTCACTAACTCATCTAGAAAGGTGTTTGCCCACATCTCTCGTAACTCATCAAGTGGTTCAATCGTATACGGATCAAAAGAGTTGAACACCTGTAAAAACAAAAACAAAAAAAAGAAAAGAAATCAAAAGAAAACATCTTTGATAGGAAAATAAGTGATATTCATCATGATGATAAGTATAAAAAGTCATTACAACACCATCAAGAAAACCCATACAATAATTAAAGACTAACCCTTGCAAATTACCTCTCCACAAAATTAGCATAAAAGGCAAATTTCTTTCCATTCATTCAAAGTAGTAACTTACCGTTTCTATTGGAACGGATTCACGGGCACGACTGATGATTAGCCACATAAACCTCATGACATAATACCCACACTCTGTTCCACCGGGTTGTTGTGGTACGATACCGACATCAGTCCACGTGGGTTTCTGTTTAAGAAAACCCATCCCCTGTACTCGAAGGATCATCCAAGATCTTCGATCAAATTTTAAAATAAGTAATCATCATTCGAGTAATACATGAGAAAACACAATTCAAATAGCAATTGCATAAAATAAAGATAATATACACTTACTCGTTTATGTAACTCTTCAGTGTAAGATTCTTGGAAGTCCCCGTCCCCAACGCTGAGTTGAAGTAATACACTTTATTTTCATAATAACGTATTACTATCAATGTATGATGTCTGCGATTAATACAAAACCTTATTACTTAATTATAAACCAAAAAAATCTACTAACCATAATAGGTTATAAAATTAAGTATAGATTACATACGTTCTCTCACAGAAGAATGGAAGAAGAACCCAAGATTTTTCTTTATGATCTAGCAACATCCTTTCCACTGGTTTACGGTTTCCATTTTTACCATATGCTGGAGGTCGTCCGGACACACTAACCCGACATTCTGAATGTCGTGGGTCCTCATGTAGCCATACAAGTGTCTTCGAATAATATAATATATATGTGCATTGTAGATAAGTCATACACACAGATACAAATACATAAGTCATTATACGTGAATACATAACTGATTGAGTGTCTAAAATTAAGATGTAAGTATACCTCATAAAGATCTCGACGATGCTATTATCGATCATATCCCATCGCAAGAACTCCTTGATGTTTTCAGGATTAATGTTGAACACCCTCTCCTCTGCATAGCCTAGTGCCCAAGGTTCTATCAAGATCTCAATGTTTGTGAGGTCCTCCATTCGTGTCAACCAGTGGCACAAATCCCTACACCTTGGACCTAAAGTCGCATAGAGCCCGGGTTCAACGGCACGCTGGAAGGGAGGCTCAGTATGAGTATGAGGCTGCTGTGAGGAATGTTGACTAAATGAATGATGAGAGTCGAGTTGCTGCGAGGAATGATGACTAAGGTGGGGAGAATCCTCCGAGTACGCTGATACACGGGAGAATCCTTTAGTAGAAGATCCTATGCCCCTCAAGGTAGGTAGGACAGGAGACCCTAATGGAGGCTGCATATACTCATTTATAAGGTCATAATAGAATTGAACTAATAAATAATAGAACGAAAGAAGTCCGAAGAAGTAAGATTAATATATACTTACATCTCCAAGGTGAACCAAGGCTTTTGGCCAGGCACACATGCTCCCCAAAGTCGAAGAAACAGTGGTGTGCTCATCCGTCGGAGTCGGTATAGGATAGTCCCCCATACCATCAAGCACCACATCCACAGATACTTTGACATGGTCGTATGGGAGGGGAGCATTGTGAAGGGACACTCCTGGAGAACACGGGAATACTGATCCACGTGCCACTATGGCATCAATAGGATCAGTAATACTCATGTGGCAACGAGTCATCTTCAAAAAATGAGAACACACAAGTTTAATAAATATGACTTTTAAAACATAAATTTGTCTATATAAAAAAGGTTTACCTCTGTTATATCCCCTAGTACTACACCTGATCCTCAAATCCTTAAACAAATCAGTGGAATCATGTCTAAGTGTTACGATCCTTTCTGGAATGAATTCTCCAACCCCAAACCATATTACTTAACCCTGACAACCTTGAGCCTATCTCCATCCTAAAAAGAGCCGTATACCCTGCCCAGACTACCCCACTCCCTACTTGAATCACTCCATCAAAATAACACGTTTTGTGCCAAAAGAAAAAACCATAAGTCAATTTCCTTTTCATTTCCCTAAGCTAGGGCCGAAACACACCAAGCCAAACAACCATATTTCATCACCCAACATCCCACAAACATTGTCCCCCCCTTGTCCCCTAGTACAACCGAAATAACAAGCACAACAAGCCAAGGGATATTTTTGATTACTTTGACCTTTAAACCACCATAAAAGCCACCCTATAAAAGCCATATTTCTCACACCCCACTGTCCCCCACTATGGCAGAATGAATCACTCCCCAACCACCAAATATTCACCTCACTAGCCAAGCCAAAATACCCAACACATCACCCATCCATTTTGCCCTCTAATATGGCCGAAAATCCCCTTCCATTCATGAATATTCATTCATGAATCCCTGTCCCCATTTTCCCTGATT